TATATTCCCCCATTCTGGTAGGTAAGCAGAAGGTGGCGTATATTAAAAAGTCACACAAATAGGCGCATCTGGTATGACAACTCGAGATAGTCGTTAAGCGCTGTAAAAGGTTTGAGTCGAGAGAGTAAATACAATAACAAAACACGCTCGTGAGTGCAAGAAATAATAAACTAAAAGCATGAACAACAACTATTCCTCGTACAGAATTATCTATTGAGGTATTCTTACGGATTCATGTCACCACTGCAGGCAATATATATATATATATGTATATATATTGAAATATAATGTATATATATATATATATATATACTTGTACAATATATACATGTACAATATGTATACAATATGTATACAATATATATATATATATATATATATATAACCAAACGAATCAAATACCTGCCACGAATAGTCTTGAATCCTCAGTGGGCTGTGTTGCTTCTGGTCAAAGTCTTCGTGTGCACAGGGCCATCTGTAAGTTGATATAACAGTGGCACGTATATCAGAAGAGAACGAATGCAGTTCAAAGGACAGACAATGTGAATAAGTATTCATATATCAATAATCATATATATACATAATCCATATAACATACTTACACACACATATATATATACATATATACATACATACATACATACATACATACATACATACATACATACGTACGTACATACATACATACTATACACATACATACCATACACATACATACATATATATCGTACATATATATACATAAATTCTAGACCGTATGCTAAAATACACGCAAATGTGTACATAAACCACACTTACCCATCCCCCACACGCGTGTCCATGCTCAGCCGGTCCGTATCCTCGCTTTTGATTTCGTCGTACAAGGTCTCTGAGTTGGTGAACGCGTCCATTCTACGCGCATCCCCTTCATTCTGCGCCTCTTCACTCTCCACACAGTCCATATCTTCTCCTTCATCTTCTCCACTCCCACGACCACCTTCATTGAGCAGCTCAGCGGTTCGCGGGGCCCAGACTAACGAGTCTTGCGAGTTCACAGACAGGTCGTCGACGTACTGGCCATGTCCTGGTACGCTTCCCTGTGCATGTGGGTGTGTATTACCATTCGCATGCGGCTGGGTATGGTTGTTGCTACTATTGGAAGCCCCATTGGAGGCCCGGGATTCCAGGAAATAGCCCCCCACAGAGTCCAGCTCTGGGGTTAGGCCTAGACCGTACACTATGCCACACAGCGAGTGGTAGTGCGTGAATATGACGCCGATCTGTGCGCGATGCAGAGACGTGGTCAAATGAGTTCCGATGGTTTGTGCCAGTGTGTATGTACGTGTACAGTATATCCACATATATTCATACATATACATATACATATTATTTATATGTACATATTTCTTTTACTTTTAACCCACCTGCGCAAGCTCTGACATGCTCCAGTTGTCGGCACCCCTCACCAGGTCCTTGATATGATCGCGTGTAATACTCCATGGGCGGTGTGCCGTGATACAATTTAGCAGCTGCAGTTTCTGTATCCTGACCGGTGCGTACTGGATGTCTTCCAACCACAGTGGATCTCCGCCGTACGACAGGAATTGAGTCGACAACACATGCAGAAGATACGAACAATCGTGGCGACTGACGGCTAGGATGGCTGTGGTGGTAGAAAATCATGAATGGGACCGTATATAAATATATGTATATATATATATAGAATGAACATATATATAGAATGAAAATATATATCTAGAATGAATATATATATAGAATGAATATATATATAGAATGAATGTATATATAGAATGAATACATATATATAT